CTTACACTGAGCTAATCCCGAATATTCCTACTGAATATGATAAGCAAGATATTTTGAAATGGATAATAAATAAACCACCGCATCATTTATATCTTGGTGATTGGGTTCAAAATAATTCGTTACAACATGGCGTGGTTTTACAGCAATCGGGCCTTGGACATGGAAAGCTTCCTGCCTTTAAATTTTTAAAGGAGCCTGAAATTATAGAAATAAATAAAATCCGAGTTTTATTAATACAACCTCAAACTCGCCAAGAAGCCTATTTATTGGAGAACGGTATAATTTTAAAGGAAGAAGATGGAGTTGAGCTCGATAAAATCCCTTTTGCTGAGTATGGCTCGACACTTAATTATCCTTTGGAAGATTTTAAACATTCTAAAAATGTTCCTTCAGATGCAATTTATTGCCAAATTATTTTTAATGCGGTGAAGATTTCGTTTAATCTCTCAGACATTAAAACTTTACCAGATTTTTCACATGCAGTAAATACTGCACTTCGAAACAATCTACCATTTAAAAAGCTTTGTGAATTATTTGGAAATAATTATGGTCATTTATTACCAAGAACTTTTACTTTGGGTGGGATTTTGTCAAAAAAGTATGAATCTACAGGCATAATTTTACCACAAAAAAAGATTGTTTTCGAATATGATATAGATGATTCTCAAACACCTCTAAACATTGAGAAAAAGTTAGAAGAGTGGAACGAAGAATTTAAACATTTGAACACATCATTCTTTCTTAATAATAGTGGAGATATTATTTATCGCAATAAGCTTGATGATTGGTTAAAAGAACTCATTGAAAATAGGCGTAGTGATTGGAATGTTGTTGCTTTCGAAGATTGGGCACCATTATATAAATGTATGAAGAAAACACACAAAAATATTGATGAGACTTTTGATGATACTTATCGCCTCGTTTGTAATGGAGAAGCACCTTTAAATAAAGATCAAACTACATCTATTATTAAGTTTCCAGAGTCACTCATTGACGATAAATATTATATTTATGGAGTTGTTGTGATGAGAAATGCTAACGGTAATTGGGAGGCAATACCCAAGATTTCTGTTCGTTTTGATTATCCTAACAGTAATGGTTGTGTTGCATATATACATATAAATTGTGATATAAGGTACGTACCAAGCATTAATGACTGTAATGTTTTACATTTTTATAGACTGGCTGTTTTAACCATATTTTGTTTATAAAATTAAAGCTTAATAAAAGAAGATATAAAACTCCTATGGTTTATTTATTATCCATTTCAAAATATCTTGCTTATCATATTCAGTAGGAATATTCGGGATTAGCTCAGTGTAAG